TAAAAATTATGTTAATTACAAAAAGTTACGAATTCAAGAACTGGAATTAAACAATTTATTCTACGAATAGCTGATATTCGAAATACACCGTTGAAGAAGATGCTTGCTTTATCTTGGAAGATAATTTATTCTTAATTTCCTCGGGCAAAGAATTTCTTGCAAACCTAAGGGAATCTACCCTGGAAGGGATCCCGCGGGAAGGCGACGAGCTTAAAATCGGCTGGGCACGCAGAAAATTTCGATTTCGCAGTTTATCTGTGTCGCGTGTGTGCTTCTTGACCGGAAAGCTTCACGCACCGTCGATCGATCTAATTTCGCTTTGAGCCGAACGGAAAATCGACCTTGGATCCGATTCCACTTTGAAGTGGAAATCGAGCGTTAATTCGATTTCACTTTGAAGCCGAGACAAGTGTTTCACACGTGCGTTCACAATACGTTAACGAATTCGCTTCATCCAGGAGACGTCTAAACATTCAACGACCGACTTCTCTTGGGGTCTCTGAGCAGATTGCTTCTTCCAAACATGTCTTTCAGTTGCCAGGTCGAGGAATATACACATACTTAGACGTATAATTGACGAATAATTCGCTATAAAGACTATTTAAACGGAGTATCGAATTTTTATTAAATCTTCAGAAATGTACCAAAAATACCAAATTCTTATTGGGTCAGAATATTTTTGTGACACGAAAATTTGACATCGTTTCGTTTAACACTGACACCAGCAACGTGTAACGCGTATCCAAATATAGTATACATAATTGATATTAATTCTGTTTAACACTAGATATTTCGAAACCCGTGAATTTGACGGATGGGTTGCTCCAATTATACGATGGTAACAGATTTAGTTAACTTATATTAAGTCTGTTAATATTGTAATTATTTTTAAATTAAACTAATCGCTAAAAAAAGAAAAGGCACGTGGTTTCCTTCACCTGTAAACTTGACAGGTGCTCGTAGAAATAGGTATACAGATAGCGTCTGTAAACCTAGTGTTAATTAGAAATCGATTTTGTCTTTACCAAAAGTAGCTCTGCATATATTTATCGAATTCGATATTCGATACAATATTACCATTACGCAAATTTTAGAGAATATAATATTGTAGTATCGCAGATTTCCCATCTCGTGTACAGGTAGCTTTAGCTTAGAAAGTCACCAAGTGTTCGAAGGCCAGGTCGGTCGGAAAAACCCCGGCGATGCTTCAGGCTCTCAGTACGACCATATTTGGTCATGTTGGGGGAGGCTTTTGGAAAACGTGTACATGTTGGGGAAGATATAAGAGAAGGCAAAGAGTGGTTAGTAGACAGTTCTTTGATGCCGTTCTTAGTAGACAATTTTAGTTGTGAGCAGTTAGTTGTTGCAAGCTGAGTTGTCATTGCGTTATTAAGTTGAGCGTAGTCTTAAGTTGGGAATCGATATGGGTTCATGTAAAGAGACAATTCGTATGTTTAATAATCACCCATACACTCTTAATTTATTATTAATGAATAAATAAATAAATATGTAGGTGATTATTAAACACACGAATTGTCTCTTTATATATATACATACCATCAGCAATCCCATCTCTCCAATATGATTTAAGAAAACATAAAGTATTGGATTTCGAAATATCATAGTATTTGAATATTAAAGAGAGTAACTGCATTTTGATTTTTGTACGTCGTATAGTATGCAATTTTTACAAACTAATGTCTAAATATACTCGGTGTAGTATACTTTTATTTATTACTGAGAGGAGAAATGATTTTTACGTACTTTAAATTATTTATGTTTATATTTTATAATTTATATTTCTATGTTTATGTTTATATTTTAATTTATTTATGTTTTATATTTGACAATTTCTATTTCTGTGTCGCTGGATTCATTTTTTGAAGTTCTCGTTAGCCCGATAACTGCAATATCTTAAAAAACAATAAAGTTTACAAATAAAAAGTTGAATTAAAGTCCGTGACCGTTGGGAAACTTGAAACCAGTTTAATGTCGTTTTGAACAGGTTCGAGAGCAACTTTCAATTTCACCCTGCGTCGGAGCGAATACCGGCGAAGGTTGTTCGGCCTGACCGCGACCGCGTCGTGCTGAAAAATGAAATAATAAGTTCACTTAACGCTCAGGCTGTCCGCTAATTGCATTCTTCGTCGCTTTCTTGCCTATCGCCGAGTTCTAGCCAAGTTTCGCGAGATTAGCGAACCATTTTCGTCACGAATCGTTAAACTTAAATCGTTTCATACTTGTTGCGCTGGTAGCTAGCTTTTCTTGCATCCCGCACAGCCTCGTGATGCAACCGTTTCATTGACATGCAAATCCAGTTTCTTTTCGCTTTCAACCCGGACACGCCTCGCGAATTTATTTCACTTCCGCTGATCATGCTGTTACCTGATGCTTTTGTGCCATGTGATCAATTGGAGAGTTCGCAAGGCGAGGAATCGCAAGTATAGCATTTATGTTCGAGTACCTTTAAATTATAATCGAGAAAATAATGCAACTTGGAAATAGCTGTGATGCGAAATTAAATTTTGCAGAAACATTAGTACTATCGCTTAATTTTATGAGAATATTGTAGTATCGCAGAATGCCCACCTCGTGTGTAGGTGACTTTGGTTTGGAAAGTCGCCGAGGGTTCGAGGGCCAGGTCATTCGGAAAAACCCCGGCGATGCGTCAGGCCCTTAGCATGACCATATTTGGTCGTGTTGGGGGAGGCATTTTAGGAGATATATAAGGAAGGCAGAGATGGTTAGGGGACGCTTCTTTTTGAGAGACAGTGCTTGAGAGATGGTCAAGCTGGGTCAGTGAGTTGTAATTGTGTTGTTAGTTGTAATTGCGTTGTTAGTTATAATCGTGTCGTTAGTTGTAGTCGTAAGAGTAAGAGTTGATATATATCTATATTCGTAGTCTTTACCGTCACCGCACATTGTATTATTATTTTATGTTTAATAAATAGTTTTATATTATTAAACAACCACCATGTCTCTACAATATTATACGATATTACACGATTGTTCAACTCGTTTAACGCTGATCCTTAATAGACACAGTCTAATTAACTCTTTGGGGTACGCTGGGATTAAAAGTGTATGATTTTTGGCCAAATTAATCCTATGCAGACAGAGATCTGCGTGTTTATTTAACAACAATCCTTTTTAATAACAAAACAGGTTCATGTAACTAAAATATTACACGAAGTTTCTCTCAATTCTAGCTCTCAAACACACGATCCTCTATTCGCTACGTCTCAATTACACATATTCTGCCTTCTCTGCGCTCTTGCATCTTTTTTTAAAATCTAACGTAACCTCGTCTTTGATGGGCCAGGTACTTTAGACACTTGGACACATTCCTAGTCTTTCGTTCATTGCTTGTAGTCGACTTACAAATAAGTATCTCATCCTTTTACATGGTCACCCATCTGTCCACACGCACTCTAGACATCGTCCTAAACGCCTAAGTAGAAACCGATGCCACTGTTTATTATTCCTTTACTAGAGTCCTTCACTGCTCGCAATCCCACAAAAGTGCCTCACCTTTTTGATGCACCGTAATGCATGATGGGACATTTTTAGTCCCACCATGAAATATTGTAAAAGCTGCATGCACATAGGTTTATATTTCGTCTTATTTACGTAAAGCAGTTGATAATACCTTCGACAAATGTTATAAATGTATTCGCTCGTGTTGGCAACATTCAACATGCCAGTTACAGTGGAGATTCATCGATTGTTGCAAGTGGAAGGTTTATTGCGACAATCTTTTTTTCCTGGTTTTGTGTAAAATATCGTAAAAGTAAGTTAATTTTCATAAAAATTAATTTTACGCCAATTCTGTTTCATTTAACACGCAATAAAATTTCTATGCAACATGGATCTATCTTATTATCTGAAATCCTGTGCGTGTTAATCGATTTTCTTTTGCAATTTTTCGTGTGTAATATATCTGTAATTAATTTCGCAATATTTGTCTTTATTTTTATTTCGCTTCTTCCAAAATTATCCGCGGGATGATTCGTTCAAGGAACGATTGGAGACGTATAATACGCGTGGGAAATTTGACTTACAATTAAAATCACGCAGGCGACGATGTCGTGGCAAGTGCTGGTCACCGACTAATTCGTTGGACAGGATCGTTTACCAAGCGGTTTGCCCGTTGACACCATCGTTGAAGTGCATTCGTTTTATAAATCACTTTGAAGTTCTGATGAGTCTGCGGTGGAGTGCGGTTCCCTGCAGAGCACTCGGAAAACGAACGATTGCACCAGCAATTTGTGGTTATTGGCTCTCTAGTTTTTGGTGTGAATTTTACGATTCCCCGCTCTTACTCTTCCCTTTCTGTACACGTCTGTCTCTGCTCTTTTACGTACGTCTTGCACGCCCTGAAAATTGCCACGATAATTAATACGTTGCCGACATGTGACGTTTATTAAATTCGTTTGCGTTCTTTCCTCTCACAGAGGGTTGAAAATAGAGTCGTGTTATTAAATGTTCTAATGTAATAAATGACGACGAAACTGTGCAAAATAGGAAGTTTCAAGAATGCCAAATTACAATTTTTTACAGAATGTTGTAGTTTCAGGGTAATTTATATTTGTACATAAAATATGCAAAATATTCGAGAAATAATGCAAAACTGAAATTGGGGTAAAATAGTTGCGAATTATATATTTGACATGATTCAATATTCCTGAAGATATTAGAAATATTTAATGCCAATAATAAATTCGTTGAACATTTATGCGAAAATGTATTAGGTGAAGTATAAAGAAATCCATTATTTTTGCATCAAATTGAATGTAAAAAAATTTATTACACTTAATATAGTGAAAGACGAAGTAAGTTAACAATGTTGGCCACCATGAATATTCCAGTATTTGTATTTATAAAAAGAAATCCATTATTTTTGCATTCAATTTCATGTGTCTAATACTTTGACAAAGTGTTTTCAAATTCGATGAAGTATATTAAAATGGTACTGATCCAATGTTCTTTGTTGATTTCAGGACGAGAAGAATCAAATATTGACGACGAACGCGTGGCTCAAGTTGGTGAGTGATCAAATATATCCACTACAAATTATTACATAGTACTTCATAAATTTTTCTGAAGTAAATTTTCTGAAGTATAGCTTAAAACGTTTTAGAAAATATATTCTATTCTTTCTAATCTATTCATCTAATATGAGATAGGGTATACAAATGGAAGAAGAACAGACTGTAAAATTTCTTGCAATAATTTATTTATTTTCCGACATCTTTAACTCCCGATGATGGAAAAACGATAGAAATTATAGGAATTAGGTAATATTAAGTCTCCAAATTATTATCGCGAAGAGAATTTACAGTGGACGATGACGAAAAACAATTTGACACGAGGGTCGAACGTGCTGGTAATGGCATTGCCGGTAAAAAATGGGAAATTTAAAATGCGCTCCTGGTAGCATCGTCTTTTTTCCTTTTTCGCGACACCGGTTCGCTTACAGGAAATCAATATACGGCAACTAATACTCGCCTGTCACGGTTGCTATTCTCATTTCCATCCAAGTGGTATAACGTTCCCTTTAAAGAACGCATCCCTATCGCCGAGAAAAGTGCGGTACAGGGGAGGAAGAAGAGGGTTGAAATAAGTCAACTGGGCTAATTACATTCGAATACCAACGACTACCAAGTGCAACGGAGCTCACATATAACAGACTACGAAGCAAAAATACGATATTAAATTAACACTTTACTTAGCATCGTTTCCCAAAAATTATTCTTTGGTAAACGATACTTATTACAGAGTCTCACCACGTGGGGGTGGCAGAATAGAGACTCTGGTCCTTCAATAAATTCCTATTGACAGCCTTCTGCACTAAACATAGAGCAAAAATTATTCACGCTATTTTAGTGTGTTAGAAAAGGAATAATGAAACTGTTTCGAATATTTTTTTTTTTTTTTTTAAATTGTTATATATTGCATCGTCTTGTCAACATTGAACATCATCCTAATATTGTTTCTGGGTGGTTTCTTCTTCAGAAAACCCTATAGGATATGCTACCGTGTAGCAAATTTGTGCCAGATAAAGAACTTATGGTAAAATCCGAAAATATACGTAGAAAGTATAGAAGGAAATTTTTTCTTAAATTTCGATGATCAATTACAATTAATTTTGAGCACGATAAACCTCCTAACGTTCTTACTTTTTATGTAATACTTTATTTTATCCAAAAATCGTGCCTTTTTAGAGCCACTCGCATTTTTCGGAAATTGGAATTTCACATATTTATATTTTTGGATTTTATCTTATATATGATAAAAATTGCAGCAGTTATTCATCCATGGTTTTCAAGAAGAATTCTAAAAGGGTTCTAAAAGAATTAATTCCTTTTCTCACATCTACCATCGAGATACTAATTGAAGAGGGTCAAGTTGCAATTCGTGTTAACTCGAATTATAAATAACGTCAATTAATTCAGCGCACAGAGCTGTGCCATTCGATGCTGAAATTGGAAAAAATTGCGAGAAAATGTTAAATTCGTTAGCCAGGATATTTCTTCTGAAGTTGCCTTGGCATTTGTATCGTTAATGAAACGAGAAAGGGTATTTAATGTTAAAATATCGTATTAATGAAAAGAAAAAGCGGGCTAATGTCATGTAAAAAGTCAGATGGGATTTCAGACAAAGGGAAGAGAATCGCTTTTCTAGTTTAACATGGCGTCCTCGTCATTAATTAATTTTGAAAAGGAAGTAGCTACGGTCAAAGGCTATACACGATGAAAGAGGATCGCAATTCATACATGTATTAGTAAAAGTGAATAATAATAACGAAATTGAAGACGAAGGCTTTCGTAATATGATATTTCATATGAACAATTTTTCCTATTCTTTTAATTATTTATCGTAATTACAATTTTTTGATCCGTGTATATATGTGTACCGTGATTCAGGTGATACAAATTCCCTCATGTTTGTGCGATAAAATACAACGTATGCTCCATGTGATATTATATATGTAGTACAACGTGGAATTTTCAAAATTTCTAATTTGAATTTTTTTATGGTTTTATATTGATTACGTGGGACCGGAAATTTAATTATCATTTGTTCAAATATCTTCTGAAACACATACATTAAAATTAGAAACAGGGTGAAACCGATCTTAGTGTTATTCTTAATTTTAATATATCACAAAAGATAAAGAATATAAAAATTAGGAATGAAAAACAATCGCATAAAAATTCCAAAATCATTATTTTATTCTCCACCTTTTGTCACTGAGTGTACTTTCAACAATTACGAAAGACAGAAAATCTGGAACCAATCATCTCGATCGATTTGGAAATTGTATCGTTAACACTCTACATCTCGAATATTAATTTCAAAATTCCAATTTTTAATTTAAAAATCTCGAGCAATTCAGTCCATAGCGAGTTATTTTCTTCGTCCTGGAAATAAACAAGAACATTTCCCTGCATACCTCGATCAACCCTTTGTAATTTCATACGATTCCTGTCAAAGAAGTTTGATCTCCACGCTGAGCCGGAATTTCAATTTTGTTAAAACACGAATTCTTGCAACGGAGATCCGTAGCAACGTGTGCGGAATATCATTTCTACTTTAATAGGAACACGGATCGGTGCACGCGACTTGGAGGTTCCCTGCGTAATAGATGGCAAAGAAGAAGTAGGGGGAAAGGAAGAAGATGAGGGAAAAAATGGGGGAAAAAATGGGGAAGCGGTGTCGAATGATAGAATCGATTTTTCATTTGCGTTGCATTCGTCAGGCCACCGATGAGGCGGAAACGCAGCTGTGGCTGTCGGTGTCAGTTCCTTCTTATCGAGTACTTGCCACCGGTTCCCTTACTGTTTCTGCTTAAGGTGCGTCTATCGTATTGCTCGATCGACAATGTGGGAAAATGAAAGGTGCAGTTGCTTCCTTCTGCGTTATTCTCGTGTTCGACGGGGGTGCAAAGTGGATTATCTTCGGTACTCTGGGGGGAACACGAGATGACGATTATTGTTGCGTTGATTGAGACTACGATAAAAATGGTGTATTTATTGAATGGTGCAATTGCGAATAAAATTTAAATTCAAACTATTTTAATGGAACTGACGAGGGGTGTCTTTTCGTGAATAATTACTGCAATTTTTAGTGGAGGTTTAGAAGTAGAGATGGTAGGTACAGACTCACTGCATTTGTATCGATTTTGCTGTAATATTTTCCATACATTTATTAATCTTGACCATCTTGCAGTTTTGTGTTTTACGTTTCAAATTATTAACATTTTGGACACAGTAAGTGAATAACAAAAGGCTATTAATAAGGTTATGGTATATTCATTGACAAGAATTACAGAGTAATTGCATCTTCTTATATAATCTATCTTACATAAGTAAGATAACATAATCTTGCAATTTTAAGTAAGATAAGTAAGATTACATAATCTTGCAATTTTATATTTTACGTTTCAAATTATTATTTTGGATACAGGAAGTGAATAATAAAAAGTCATTAATAAAATTATAATTTACGTATTGACAAGAATTACAGAGTAATTGCATCTTCTTATATAATATATCTTACATAAGTTTATCACTTATATGAAATATATTATATATAAGATGTTATCTTTTCACCCTATTCTTAATTTGAGTATACCTTGGACTTATTTATTATTTATATTTATCTGGGAAGATAATTTTTTATTTATTTATTATTTATCTTGGTAGGTGAAGAATATATATATATGAAAACTGGTAAACGCTAAAGATTTTACAATAGCTTTGATAGGGGTACGTTAACCATTGAATCATAACAGATTCAGAATAATAATTTGAGTATACCTTGGACTTATTTATTATTTATATTTATCTGGGAAGATAATTTTTTATTTATTTATTATTTACCTTGGTAGGTGAAGAATATATATATGAAAACTGGTAAACGCTAAAGGTTTTACAATAGCTTTGATAGGGGTACGTTAACCATTGAAACATAACAGATTCAGAATAATAAGAACCCTATAAATAAATCTTCTATAAGAATATTTAAAAAATCTGGAAACCAATTGCACACCTAAAAAAATTCCCGAAAATTCGCAATACTTCCCCAAACTTTTTAAAATCTTCTCGAAACCTGTCTTCAAACTTGCACCTCCAAGATCCCTCATCATCCCCAAACTATCGGAGTACCATCAACGTACTACCACATCTCACTCGTCGGTGAACCTAACCCAAACTTAACCCCATCGAAAACAAAGCAGAGAGTCCAACAAAATCAATACGCAACGTACGAATGTGGAAAAAAGCACGGTATAAATTCCATCCGATTCCATCGTACGAGCAAATTTCCCTGGATTCCCCACAGAGGGATCCATCCCTCGTCGACCGGCCGCAACGATCCATCAAAATGAGATCGACGAAACTGATCCCACGCGCTATTACCTACCGGAGGGTTGATCGGCGAGACAAGAAGATGCACGCGTGAGGGTCGATTCAGCCGGCTGGAGTGATCCTCTGCGCGTTTCCTTGCATCCCCGGGTGCGAGGGGAAGATCGGACGGGAAACAGGAGTCGGCGGCCACGAGAGGGAATGGAAAGCGAGATAAAAGGGAGCGGCTCGCGAGCTGCGCGCGGCAAAGAGGATTCGAGAAAATCGAGGGAGCAGAATGATGCACTCCCGCGTCTTTCTGCAGCTGGATCAAGATGAAAAGCAGGAGGGAAGGTTTTCCGGGGTTGCTGCCTCGAATAAAGGACCGCGGCCGCGTGCCGTTGACGTTTCGGCTTTCTCGCGCGATACGCGACAACTACGCGTGAATTTATTCATAACTCTCTGCTCTCTTCGGGGCTATGGTACGGTCAGTAAATTTCTCCTCGCATTCTTCCTGCTTCCCCTTTCTGGATAATTCTTCCGTGTCTATTTTGTCGGCAAACGAACGCGAGATGGGGTGCTAGCTCGTGCTCGGATTGAATCGGTACCTGGGTTTGTTACCCTTTTTGCTGGTTGGTCCTTCGTGGTTAGTGGGAACAGGTGATGATTCGATGTAGGTGATTTTTGTTGGATTGGTA